AGGGAGTCTTTGCCCTGCTGATAACCTGGCACGGGGGAATCCCCCTGCAAACGCTGTGCCAAGGAAATACCTCCCTGGTGCAGGGGAGGTGCCCTTTGCCTGCATGGAGGGCACATCTGGTCGCTGGTCCCGGTGGCTCTGAGCTGTCCTTGGGCACAGCAGCTCTGACCCTTCTCTTTCTTCCCCTGCCCCGTGGACTTGGGGTGGTTTCTAACCCAGGTTGTTCTGTATTTTTTCACAGAGAGCTGCTTTTGGAACTGATGCAGCAGCACTGAGTAGAAGAGACCAGTTGGATCCCTCGGACCCAAGCATGGGAGGGACAGATTTGTACTATGTGAGAGAAAAAGGTCTCCACTGCCAGCCGTGTCCCCCAGGTAGGATGGTCTCAGTGATCCCCCCATGTGCAGCCTTGTTGTGCTCCTGTTGGCAGAGCCAGCAGGGCCTTGCTCTTTGTGAGGGGCAGCTCCCCCCTGCTCCACTGTCATGGATCTAAGGACTCATTATTGGAATGTTTTCCTTTTGTTGATTCCTCGTTTGCCTCTGAACTTGGCTGGCAGTGCAGTGACAGAATCACAGAATCATCCAGGCTGGACCATCAAATCCAACCTGTGCCCCATCCCCACCTTATCACCCAGCCCAGAGCACTGAGTGCCACGGCCAGTCCTTCCTTGGGCACCTCCACCACCTCCCTGTGCAGCCCATTCCAACATTTAATAACCCTTTCCATGAAGAAATCCCTCCTGATATCCAACCTGAGCCTCCCCTGGCACAGCTTGAGGCCGTTCCCTCTCCTCCTGTCCCTTGTTCCCTGGCAGCTCCCCCCTCCTGTCAGGGGGTTGCAGAGCCAGAAGGTCCCCCCTGAGCCTCCTTTTCCCCAGGCTGAGCCCCCCCAGCTCCCTCAGCTGCTCCAGCCCCTTCCCAGCTCCATTCCCTTCCCTGGACACGCTCCAGCCCCTCGATGTCTCACCATGAGAAGGCCAGAACTGGGCACAGCCCTCGAGGTGCCCCAGCAGTGCCACCACAGGGGGACAATCCCTGCCTGCCCTGCTCCTGCTGGTCACACTGGTTTTGATACAGCCCATTGGCTTTCTTGGCCACCCAGCTGGCAAATCACCCCCCTCTCTGCACAGACATCTCCTCCCTGTCCTGTGTGCTCAGAGCTGCCCTTCCTCTTGCAGGCACCCACCTTGCAAAGTCCTGTGACGAAGAAAATGGCTCCAGCAAGTGTTTGCCCTGCAAGGCCGAGGAATTCATGGAGTACCTGAATGTCTTCCACTCCTGCCATGAATGTCTGAAGTGCAGGGAAGGTACGAGCTGGTGGGGAATGGGGCAGTGCTGGCTGATTGTCACCTGCAGTGTCCCCAGAGGGTGGCTGGGAGCAGGCTGGGTCTGGAGCTGGTGTAGCAGCTTGTGCCAGACCTGCCTCTGTGGCCAGGGCAGCGTCCTCTGTGCCAAGCTTGGATACAAGACCTCCACAAGGACCAGGAGGACGAGGCTCCCGCTGGCACTGGAGGCTGCTGGTGGAGCTTGATCCGGGCACTGCTTTTCCCTTGGTGTGGGCAGGTGTGGGGCAGGAAAGGGAGAGGCTGAAACCTCAACAGCAGGGAGTGACTTGGTCTTCCCGGGGCTTGGGACACGCTCGGGGTCATTAACAACAGGGAGGAACCCACACAGAGCCGTGTCTCCTGTCGCCCACAGATCAGGTGGAGCTGAGTCCCTGCCAGGCCACCAGGAACACGGAGTGTGCCTGCAAGGAGGGCACCTTCTGCGACCCGAAGCTCCCCTGCGAGATGTGCCACAAGTGCCAGGCCCGGTGAGTTGGGGGTCACGGGGGGGGGTCCGTGCCGGCAGCTCGGCTCCAGCTGCTGATCCCGCCCTGTCTCCCCCCTTCCCAGGTGTCCCGAGGGCCAGGTGGTGCTGTCTCCCTGCACTCCTTACAGTGATCTCCAGTGTGGTCCTGCCGAGGGCACCGGCTTCAACTGTGAGTTGGGGAGGGAAGGTGGGCTGAGGGATGGAGGTGGGAGCTGCTGCCCAGGGGACGGGGAGCAGCTCCCACACCCCTGGTTTTTGTCCTTTAGACCTCTGGATTATCATCCTGCTGGTGATCCTGATCCTGTTCGTGCTTGGGCTCCTCGTCTGTAAGTACTGCTGCTGTTCCCCAGGTGAGCACCGGGTGCAGGGGACCCCCAGAGCACTCGCCTGGGCCAGGGGCTCTGCAGTGGCGTGGGCTGGGTGGGAAGAGGGACCTGCCTGGGCAAAGAGGGGTCACAGCACTGTTTCCATCTTCCAGGGAAGGGGAAAAAGCTGACGTCCTACAGTTTGAAGGTGAGCTGCTGGGATGGCAGCGGAGTGGTGGCTCTGTTTGTGGGGCTGGGGTGAGGTCCCCCGTGCCCTCTGCTCCCCACTTGCCCTGCAGCTCCTGGGGAGGCTGGAGGAGCAGGGGGGTGAGTATCACCCCTGCTGGGATGTGGTGAGGGGCCAAGCAGAGGAGGGTCCCTGTGTGCTTGCAGCCCCCTCACAGTGCCATAAGCCCTTCCCCTGGCAGAGGTGTTGGCACACCCAGGGTGCCCAGTGGAGACCCCAGGGTGAAGGGAGGGCTGTGCTGTGCCAGAGTTCCTTCAAGCTCGGGATAAGCAAGCGAGCCATGCCCTTGAGCCCACGCCAGGGGGGGATGCTGCCATCGGCATCCCTGCGGGGCCACTGGGAGCCGGGACAACCCGACACGGTTTGTGCTTCTCTCCTGCCACAGGATGCAAGCAACCTGATGCAAAAGCTGAGCTGGTACAGGAGGGGGAACGTGGGGACACAGGACAACAACCTCAACGAGCAGCGTTCCCGGGATCCACCACCCCCCGAGGCCGGGGAGTCAGAGGTACAGAGGGACCTCTGCCCAAGCTCTGATGCTTCCCTCTGCCTTCCCCAGGCTCATCAGCTTGGGGGGACTCCAGGGCTGGACCATGGTATCTGCAGGGAGGTGGAGAGGGGTCTCCTGTCCTTGTTCTGGGCTCAGGACTGCAAATCCTGCTCGCTGCAGTCGACTGCCGGAGTCCTCTGTGGGTTTAATGCTGCTGAGCAAACAGCTCTTCTCTCCCTGGCTGGGACCCACGAGGCAGCTCTCCCTGCTCGTGGCCTGCTGCCATCCCAGAGCTAGGAATCCATGATGTGCTGGGGGTGGAGGGTGGTGTCCTGCCCTATCAGCCCCTGGAGAGAGGGAGAGGGGTCTCCAGTCCCCGCACTGGGGGGCTCAGGGACAGTGTTTGTGCCAGGGCTTGGTGTGCTATAGACATTGCCATTCCAGGTGATGCTGCAGGACACACCTTCTCCCAGGCCGAGGCCCAGGAGGGATCTGGTTCCACAGGCAGGGAAAGATCCCATTCAGGGTAAGTGCTGGGGCCCAACGGATGTGCTGGGGGGGCAGAGGGGGTGAGGTTTCTGTCCCAGCTGCCCGTGCTCTGCCCTGTTCTCTGAGCTTTCCCCTTCCTCCTCCAGCGCTGCGAAGCACTTTTTACATCTTTGCTGAAATCAACTCCAACTACTGGAAGAAATTCGGCCGAAGCCTCAATATTCGGGAGAACGATCTGCCCGATAAGGGGTCACAGGACGACGCCTTCTATGAAATGCTCAACAAGTGGCTGGAGACAGAAGGGTCCAAGGCCTCTGTGAACACGCTGCTGGAGACCCTGGACCAGCTCAATCTCCGTGGGTATGCAGACGACATCTCCTCCAAACTGATCAGGAGGGGATTATTTAAACACGAAGGAGATGAAGAGCAAGGCGGGTCCTGCGCCTCCGTTCCGTGACCTAAAGCTGCGAGCTACCTCCTAGGACACATGAATTTTAGCTGTTTATATCTCTGCTGTTGCAGAGCTCAGCTCAACCAGGAGTGAAGTACGGACTTCGTGGTGCTATTTTTGTAGCTGTTGCAGCTGCAGGCTCCATGTTGGTGCTTCCTTACGAATGCCAAGTGCTTTCTTGGTTTCACTTGGTCATTCACTGGTTAGTTGCTGCTAAGTTTTGTGCTAAGTTGGGTTTTACTTTCAGTTATGTTATGCTATTGGTTCTGCTTGCTGTTCCAGCTTGAAAGTGGACTTTGAGGGGAGAGTGGGAACGATTTACTTTTGCACTATGATCACTGGGGTTGCTTAAGAAAAGGGACAGTGCAGGGATCATCTAGTCCAACCCCCCTGCCACGAGAAGGGACATCTTCCACTAGACCAGGTAGCTCCAAGCCCTGTCTAGCCTTGACCTTGAATGTTTCTAGGGATGGGGCAACCACCACCTTTCTGGGCAACTTCTGCCAGTGTTTAACCACGTCCTCACTTGAAAAAGGTTCTTCCTAATATCCAGTCTAATTTGACCCTCCTTCAGTTTGAAGCCATTCCCACGTCCTGTCACTCCAGGCTCTTGTCCAAAGTCCCTCTCCAGCTCTCATGGAGCCCCTTTAGGCCCTGGAAGGGGCTCTCAGGTCTCCCTGGATCCTTCTCTTCTCCAGGTGAACCCCCCCAGCTCTCCCAGCCTGGCTCCAGAGCAGAGGGGCTCCAGCCCTCGGAGCATCTCTGTGGCCTCCTCTGGACTCACTCCAGCAGCTCCACGTCCTTGTGATGTTGGAGGCCCCAGAGCTGCAGGTGGGGTCTCACCAGAGCTGAGTAGAGGGGAAAAATTACCTCCCTGGACCTGCTGATGACAGTTTAGTTCCGTTCCCTTGCCTGTGGGGTGGCTTTGCAGTCCCTGTGTCTCCAGCCAGCGTGGAAAGGTGAATGCACTGAAGGTCTGAGAGTGACCACGGGTACCTGCCATCCATCCCCCAACTGCACGGGTTGCTTCTCAAACACTTTCCCTCTCACGCATAGCTCAGGGACAACTTAGCTGGAAAAACTACTGGATTACTTGAGCCGCCACCCCACTACAGCCCAGTCCACCAGGACCTTCCCCACTGTGTTAGGAGCAGCTCAGGGCTTGCCCTTCCTGCTCCCACCACCTCTCCTCCACTCGGTACCACCGAAAAAACCACGTGGACGCAAGCAGGAGTTGTGTATTTATGTATTTATTTAGCAACTGTTTACATACGTTAACTTAAAAGTTAATATAAAAATATTGGTATTTTGGTATGCATGATTGAGTGTGTTTTATACAGAGCTCTGGCCCAGCCAGTTTGCTTTATTTTCCAGTTTTTACATTTCTCTTTATGAAGGAAGAATTAACTTTTTAAAAAAAAAAAAAATCCTCCTGATTTCTCGTCTGGTTTTATTCCCCCCCACCCCCACCCCGTGCTCTGCCAGGGTTTCAGTGGGCACCAAAGGAGCTGGACCAGATGCTCAGCAGCTGCTCCGTGTGGTGCCAAGGACCCAGCCCATGGAATTCGTGCATCCCACCGGGAACGGTCCCCACCAGCGATGCTTCTGCCGGGGGAAAAAGCCCTCAGCAGCCAACCTGGCCTCTGCCTTTACCCCTACACCATGAGTCCTGTGCTCTTTGCTCCCTGCAAGAACAAGGAGGGTGAAATCTGTCCCTCGAGCAGGGGTGGGACCCCGGGGCCAAGGGGGAACCACGCGACGCTGACCCGGGGCCAGAGCTGCTCCGGCTCCACCCAGCCAGGGCTCTGTGTGCTGCAGTAGCTGTGTGGCAAATCCATGCAGTGCTTAAGTGAGAAGAGGGGGCTCTGCTGGCCCCCAAAAAGCCCCTGGGGCTGCCCACCAGCCCCCGCACTGCAGTTGGGTTTTATCGGTAGCGCTGGGGCGGGTGCGAAAAGCAGGAGCTCTGGGGGGCCCTACCAGGACCAAAAGGTCCTGTCCCCCCTTGTGCCTCCCGAGCATGCAAACCTGGGCAGGGAGCTCCTGCAGAGCCAGGCACGTGCAGGATGGAGGGCTGGGACACGGGGGCTCGGGGCCTGGCCTGGGGGAGGCACACGGGACCGGGCAGCGCCCGCAGAGGAAAGGGAAAGAAACTCGTGGTCCTACCTGCTCGCTGGGGCTGCAGAGGGGGAGAACACCCAGAGTGAGCTCGCTGGAGCTGCCACCTCGCTCCTGCATCCATGTGGAATGAGAGGCTCCAAGGTGCTCTGCGAAGCCAGCTGGGAAGAGGAGCAAGGTGGAGTGGGAGGGGATGCACCGGGAGCATCCCTATGTGCTCCCTCCAGCTGCAGCCTCTGCCAGGGATGGGCTCTTCCCCATCCCAGCTGGGGAGGGCGAGCGGAGGTTTGGGTCCTTCCTGGCCTGCCTGGCAGCCCTGCAGAGCCCTGGGGCTGTGGACCTGCAGGGACACAGGTTGGGACATGCAGAGTTAGTCTGATGGGAAAGCCACCTCTCCTTGCACAAGGGGTTTTGATGGATGGATGGATGGATCCTGCAGTGCTTCCCTGTCCCTGTCCATCCCGGGAGCGCTGGAAGGGGGGTGATGGTGTCCCCCCAAGCAGGGCACAAGGATGTGCTGTGTCCAGGCGCTCCCTCCCAAACACACAGGGACCACGCTGGGCTTTGAAAATACCATTTATTACAATGGAGCCTTCCAGGCTAAAAGCCCAAGCCAAGGGCCTGGGGTTGGTTTCTGGTGTGGCAGGTTGGGGGAGTGGGTTTGGGATCGGGTTGGGTTTTTTTGCTTTAAGTTTTCTTTTTTAAACAAAAAGTTAAGAATGGGGAGGAGAGGACTCCGGTCCCCTCCACGCCCTGAATTAGGGACAGACCCCACTGGCAGGGGAATATGCTGCAGTGCCTGGAGGCATTTGGGGACCAGGGTCCCCTGCACTGTGCCTGACCCTGCTGTGAGTCAAAGGGGGTGGCAGGACCCCCACAGTGGCTCCTGGTGCCATCAGACACACAAACCATATCCCACAGCTTCTGGTTACAAATCAAAGTGGAAGCGGGATGCGTTTCTTCTTCTTCTTCTTCCTCATGCTGCTGATGTTCCAAACAAACAAACATACAAAAAAAAAAAATCCAAAATGAAACCACAACACAGCCCTCGTGCTCCTGTAAACATGAGTTTCTCCTGCTGCTCGGGCTCTGCCAGTCCTGCAGCGCTGGCACCGCGGCGTGGGGAGAGCAGGGCTCCAGGAGCACCAGGGGCTGGCCCTGAGCCCCCCCACCACAGGGACAGACCCCCGTGGCCACCATCTCCTCTGGGGCTTCGGCCCGTGGCGTCCGCTGCACGCCTGGCGCTGGGGCAGGTCACCCCCTGCTTCCTCCTCCTCCTCCTCCTCCTCCCCGTCTCCTCCCAGGGATGCTGGAGCCAGGGCAAGGACGGGCCTTCAAACCACAGCCGAGGAGGAGGAGGAGGAGGACGAAGAGGAGGCTGTGGCTGCTGACGATGAAGGAGAGGAAGAAGGGGAGGAGGAGGCGTTCCAGAAGAGCCACCGCCTCTTGGGCTGCCGTTTGAGGTGGAGGTAGTCTTCCTTCTCCCGCTCCTTCTTCGCCCGCTGGTAGTGATCCTCCTCCTTCAGGTACCACACCGGCGGCCAGCGGTGCTTCTCGAAGTACTCCTGGTTCTCTGCAGGGAGACAGGGGAGAGAGGGGGGGTGAGGGCAGTGCCAGGACCAGCAGGACCCCCTCTGTCATCCCACCCTGGCTCCCACTCACCTCCCGACATGGCCTTCATGTCCCGGGGGAACTTGCGGCAGACGTTGTTGTAGTTGGTGCAGATGTGATGGAGGCACCAGTCGGCGAGCTGGTAGGCGCAGTGGAACTGCAAGGGATGGAGCCCCACGTCAGAGCCCCCTGGGCATGGACCAGCAGGAGGGATTCACCCTATTCCTCCATGGACACCCAAGACCTGCTTGTCCCCTCTCCCAGCCCCCGGAGCTGCCAGACCCCTCTGAGTGTCACCACCCAGCACCTTGTGCCTCCCTGCCCTACCTGAGCCAGCTCCAGGAACACGAGCACGTCCCCATCGATGTCCACCATCATCTGGGCCGCCTCCATCAAGCCGGTGACCGTGTACTGCTCTGTGGGGGGACACGGGGGGTCACCGGGAGGTCGGGGTGGGGGGACACCCACCCAGCTTGGGGACAGCCCTGCTGCAGCCCCCTGGGGCTCACCTGTGAGAGCCACCAGGTGCGGCAGGCAGAGGCGGTTGGCGAGGATGATGAGCTTCATGTCGTCCAGGTCGGGGCTGGAGCTGAACTGCCCCGTGTACAGGTACTCCAGCACCGCCCGCATGCAGCTCTTGCTGGTGTGAGGAAGTGCCACCTGTGGGACACACACACACGAGTTGTCACCTCGTGGCCGTGCCCACCCCTCTCCCGGGACAGCCCTGGGACCCCTCCTCATCCTCACCTCGTTGGTGGAGCTCTCCACGAAGGGGCCACCGAACATCGCAGCCATCCAGTCGCAGCTGGAGATGAGCAGGGGCTTGTGGGCACTGATAGCACCGTCATCCAGCACGAAGGTGACATCTGGGGACAAGCAGAGGGATGCTACCGGGACTGCCTCCATCCCCTGGGGCTCAGCCACCCCCTGCCACAAAGTATCTCGCACCAGGAAGGGGACAGAGTCTGGCATTTGCTATATTTTTCCTTTAAAAATCTTTATCTTTTTTTCCAGCATCCCCCCCGGCTCAGAGGAGCTCAGGGAAGGGCCTCAGCAGTGCTCTGGGTATTCCGAGGGATTTTCCCAGGTCATTCCACAACACATTTGAAAGCAAAGGGCAAACTAAGGAAGCAAATGTCTCGCCCAAGTTTGAGTCCTTGGAGAACTGGGAAGGACGCTGGGGATCTCCTGCCCCCCCTACTCTGCTCTCCACGGCTTCTCCCAGGGGTGTGCCATGGGCCAGGACACATCTGTCCCCTCACAGCGACAGCTTGGCCACATCAGGATCCATCTTCATGAAACAAATCCAGCCAGAGGGAGGCTGGGACATTCACATCCCCCTGGGATGTCACCTCGTGCTGGTGGCTCGTGGTGCTCAGTGGAAAGCTGGGGAAATCCTACTAAGGGCACTCACTCCCGATAAATCAGATGACCCTGTGAAAAATCCAAGCTGGGAGGGAAGGAAGTCGCCTTTGCTGCCCTTCCGTAAATAAACGGAGCTGCTGGACGGGCTGGGGAGCAGGAAACCCTGGGGAAGGGCCCTTACACTCACTTTCTCCGGGAAAAAAAGCAGCAATAAAAATCCCAGAAAAGCAAAGTGTGACCAGAAACCCCAGGGAAGGTGAGCGAACACCTGCTGACCCGTGGCATGACTAAACCCAGGAGTCCCCCATCCACCCTTCAGACCCCCCCTCCCAGGGAACAGGGGGGCTGCTCCCGGGCCCCTGGAGTCATACCCGAGAAAGTCCCCTTGGCCAGGCATTCCTTCACCCGGTTGGTCCTCCGGACGTGGAAGGCTTTGGTGATCTCCTGGTTCATGAACGCCTCGTTGTTGAGGATGTTGGCCACCATCATCCGGAGGTCGAAGACCTCCAGCAGCTCGGCGATGTGAGCGATGTGCATGAGGTCCCGCTCGTTCTCATCCAGCTCCCCCGTGTACAGGTACTTCAGCACGGCCCGGAAGGGACCCGGCTGGATGGAAGCGTCCATCTTCACCACCACCATCAGCTTGGACTTGTAGGTCAGCGGGTCTTCGGCCATCTCCTCCTGGATGCTGGTGAAAGCCCGGCTCCACGAGGAGAGGTTCCTGCCCCGCCGCAGCCCGCGCTCCCCGTTCTCGTAGCGGTTGCCCCGCAGGATCCCGTCACTGGTGGAGGCTCTAAGGCACGGTTTGCGCTGGCCGGATCCGGCCTCCTCGGTGCTCTCGCAGATATCGAAGCTGGCGGCCCTGAGGAGGAAATCCCGCCCGTGGTGCCTCTCCTCCTGGTGCAGCATCCGCTCGGCGGCCGCCGTGACGGCCACCCCGAAGCCGTGCCCCGCGGCGCCCTGCTGGTCCTCCTCGCTCAGGTCCATGAGGAACAGGTCGTAGAACTTGGAGGAGGAGGTGGAGAGGTAGATCTTGTGTGCGTAGATTTTGATCTTCTCTTGCAGCACCAGGATGACGTCCGCGCACAGGGGGTCCTCTAAGAGGTGGGCTGGACGCTCCTCGTTGTTGGAAGGGGGGTCCGGGACGATGATGATGGGCGGAGGGGGCTTGGGGGGCAGGAAGGGGGCTTGGAGAAGGGGCCTCTGCACGTTGCGGAGGTGGGACTTCCAGAACTGCAGGTGGCGGCGGGAGATGAGGGCGGCGCGGATGGCGTTGTCAAAGACGTCCTTGACGCCAAACTGGGCCACCACGCTCGTCTCGTAGTAGGGGATCCCCAGCTCCTTGGCGACCTCCCTCCCCTTCTCCGGGGGCAGGATCTCGTTAGGTTTGATCGGCCTGAAAAGAGAGGGGAGATAACGAATCCTTCAGGCAAGGGGGACGGCGTCGGGCAGGCAAGGACACCTCCAGGGCCCCGGGGGTCCCACCTGGCCAAGGGCCGCCGCGCCCGGTTGACGGCCTCCAGGTCGGCGTAGCGCAGGTCGAGCTGGCAGCCCACCAGGATGACGGGCGCGCGGGGGCAGAAGTGCTTGATCTCCGGGTACCACATGGTCTTCACGTGGTGCAGGGAGTTGGGGTTGGCGATGGAGAAGCACAGAACCACGACGTCGGACCTGCGAGGGGAGCGGGGTCAAGGTCCGGCTCTGGGCGCCTCGGCTCTGCCCTCCCTCCCTCCCTCCCCGCCCCAGTGGGAGCACGAGGCTCTGCCCCCTCCCTACCTGCCGTAGGCAAAGCGCCTGTCCTTGTGGTGGTCACCAAAGGTATCCCAGAGCCGCAAGGACACGCTGACATCGTCTACCACGTCCCGGGAGCGCTCCAGCACCTGCGGGAACAAGAGACACCGTCCAGCTCCCGAGTCCTCGAGCGGGGCACAGAGGAGCGACTCCCACCTCCCCGGCGGGGAGGACGCAGCTCCACCTCCTCGGGGTTCCCAGGGGGCATCCGTGAGCGGCCCTCACCTCCTGGCAGACGCGGTACTGGTCGATGGCCCACACCGTGGGCACGTGGGTGGCGAGGAGCTGGTACTGGGTCAGCGTGGCGTTGCAGGCGCGGGCGCAGATGAGTCGGGTCTTGCCCACCGCGTTGTCCCCGACCACGACGCACTTGATAGTTTCTACGTTTGGCCTCTCATAATCCATGTCAGAATCCATTAATTGGGACCTGCAGGGGGAACGGGGAGGGGCTGGGTTGGCCGATACACCCAGGGCGAGCCGGGAGGGCTCTCTGCAGACGGGTCAGGATGCCAGAGGGGGACAGAGGGATGCTCTCGCTCCCTCACAGCCCAGAGAAGCTCTGCAGCAGCTGCCCAGCCCTCCCTGGCTCACGCTCCCCGCCTGTCCCCTTTAAAATTTCATGTTCTCGTGGCAGCGTGCGTTGCTGTGCCGTCAGACACATGCCCTGCGCTTGATTCCGCCCTCCTCCCTCCCGCTCTCCGGCTCATGCTTGTTCATGTGAGATGAGCCTTCTTTTTTTTTTTTTTTTAACTCCCTCCCTCCTTTTCCCTTTTCTCCTTCTCCAGCGTTCGCAGGAGAAGCTTCCAGATCCACCCGAGCGAGTGCACGCACGGGCACTGCCAGTCTCTCCCCTGCCAGTCTCGGGGGAGCACAACGACCTGCCCTGCTTTCCACACCCCGTTCCCAGAGCAGATATTTGCTCCCAGCTAAGAACAGCAGAGAAGAAACTTCTCATGTTTCCCAGAGGCTCAGCAGCCACCGGGATTGGGAAGGCTCCCAGCATCACCAGTCTCCCAGGAGCACGTGTGACCCCGACACTCCCCGAGAGGGACGATGGTGTGAAGCACCCAGGTGTACCCAGGTGTATCATCTTTTGCCTGTCCACACCTCAGAGTCCAAACCAGGCAGGATTAACTCATCACAGCAGGGTTTGACGCGATTTCCAGGGGGAAAAGCGGCGAGGAGGTCGAGGGAAGGGGGAGACGGACTGAAAAAGCCCCACATCCCAATCGCTCTGAACTTCCCGAAGCCGCAGATCTCTTCCCCCTTGTCGCTCCCTCCTGGCACCAGCCTCCTGAGCTTCTATAATAAACCACCAGCGCAGTGAGCGAAAATACCCGGTAACCGTGGCAACCGAGCCCTGCACGCGGGACCGGGGCCGCAGCTCCCGAGCCCGGCAAGGACTTCCCAATGTTAGCACCTCCCTCCGTGTGCACCTCCTCCCTCCCTCCCGGGCACACCTGGACACACCAGCGGCGCGGGGGAGGGCTGGGCACGGCGCGGGATCGAGCCACGAGCCCCGTGGGCAGGTGCAGGTAAAGGCAGGTGGCACAAATCCAGGTTGCTTTGGGTTGCCAGCGCTGGTCCCCGGGCAAAACTTCTCTGATTAGTTGTCACTGCATTCCACGTCCCCCTCCATCCTCTGGGATGCAGGGAATGCATCCCGGAGGGCATTGGAAACCAGAAACAGCAGCCTCCTTAGGCTCTGCATGCGGAAAGGAACCAGGGCAGGTGGTCCCCTTCCCTGGGAGCCCCTCAAAATCCGTCTCCATCTCACACATCGCCCTCCACTGCTGCTCCCAGTCCCCTGCTGCTCCCGGGGATCAGCTTTGCTCTGCAGGACCAGGAGATCCAGGAGATCTCCAGGGTGTGGGGGGGTTGTCAGCGCTCAGGGAGCTTCGCTGTGGTTATTTTTAGGCCCAGCCGTGCTCCCAAGTCGGCTGAGCTCATTTGGATGGTGGGGGAAGGCACATGGAATGACAGCTGCGGTTGGCAGTTCGGATGGGGAGCTCGGCCCACCCCCAGCCGAGCACTGGGGACTTGGGAGCCTGCTGGGAAAGTCTGGTGCCCCACGGGAATTAGGGGCTAAATCCTAACGGGATCAGTGCCTGCGATGAGGAGGGGGATGGTGGGACAGCAATGGGCACAAAATGTGGGTTCTCAGGAAAGCACAAACACATCTGGGAGCTCTGTTGGCCCCACGGAGAGGGCTCACAGCCCCCCACCCACCAAACCACCCCAGGAGGGGCTGAGGCTTTCACAGGGGCCATTTCAGCTGCACCCCCTCCCCACGTTCCCCACCATCCCCTCTCTTCCAAGGACAGCTCCGAAACCCTCCGGAGAGCAAGAAATAACCTGAGATGCCAAGACATCGGAGATCCCCCCGAAGGAAAAGCTCTTCCCTGGGGAGCAGGGCTGCTCTGGCCAGCAGCCCCCCAGTCCTGCTCTGCCTGCCCACCGCAGCCCCCCACCCAAACCACAGGCACCCAATTCACACCCACCCTCCCCCAAGGAGAACCCCAAAATTGCTCCTTCCAGGCTCCCAGCCCGCGGTTGCCAAGGCAACTGCACCATCACCCCGGGAGCCGTCGCTTAGCAACTCCCCGGCTAAAAATCCTCCATCCCGCACCTCGCCAGGGCAAAAGAACCCCCCAAACACGGGGGGGGACCTGCCCCAAAACGGCAGCGACGCTCAAAAATAACGCGGCACCTCCCGTGAACCCCCCGGCAGCCGCGGGGCGCGGGAGAAACGGGGCCCGGAGGCAGCCGGGGCTGTGGAGGCCGCGGCGGGAGGCGGTGCGGGAGCGGGGCCCCGAGCGGGGCTGCCGCACGGCCGGGGCCGGGGGATGCGGAGGGCGGGGGGCACCGGGAGTGGGGGCGCGGGGCCGTGGAAGGGGCCGGGGAGCAGCGGGAAGGGGTGCGGGGCATTGCAAAGGGGTCGGGGAGAGCCGGGAACGGGGTGCGGGGCTTCGGAAAGGGACGGGGGAGCAGCCGGACCGCGGGTGCGGGGCATTGCAAGGGGGCTGAGGAGGAGCCAGGCGGGGGGTGCGGGGGATTGCGAGGGGGCTCAGGGGTGCTCGGAGCACCCGGATCGGGGGTGCGGGGCATTGCAAGGGGCCTCAGGGGTGCTCGGAGCAGCCAGATCGGGGGTGCGGGGCATTGAAAGGAGATTGAGGAGGACCTAGGCCGGGGGTGTGGAGCATTGCAAGGGGGCTCAGGGGTGCTCGGAGCACCCCGATCGGGGGTGCGGAGCATCGCGAGGGGGCTGGAGAGCATCGGGAACGGGGCATCGCAAGGGGGACGGGAAGCACCGGCAGCGAGCGCGGGGCATCTCAAGGGGTCTCGGAGGTGCACGGAGAGCCCGGACCGGGGGTGCGGGGCACTGCCAAGCGGCGGCGGGTGCAGGGCGAAGCGGCCGGGCCCTCGCTGCCCCCCGCGCCCGCACCGGGCCGGGCCGGGCAGGATGCGCGGAGGCGGAGCGGGGGACGCGGGGCGGAAGCGCTCGGCGTGGGTTTTCCCCCCCCCTCCCCGGTACTTACACCAACACAGACGAAGCGGCGGCTCCCAGGGGCCGGGGCCGGGCTCGCCCCTCCGGACACGGCCATGGCGCAGGTTGCGCGGCTCGGCTGGGCACGGCTCGGGGCCGCGCTGCGCGGCTCAGGGCCGGGGGCGCGGGGGCCCATGGCGGCGGCTGGGCCGCCCCGATTTCCGCATCCGCGGCCCGCTGCGCTGCGCGGATCCCCCCTGCGCCGATCCCGGCCCTGCTGCGCGGAGCGCTGCGCGCTGCCCTGCGCGCTGCAGTCGCGGCCGCCCCGCCTTTCATTCACAAAAAACAAGCGGCCGCGCCGGAGCCCCGCCCCAGACCCCCCCTCCCGACACCGCCCATTGGCTGAGAGAGGCATTGGGGGGGGTGTCCTGGGGGGTGCGGGCGCGTCCTGCCGCGCTTAGGACCCCCATCCTGCCCTACCGTCCCTCGGCAGGGGGTTCTGTCATTCCCCACACCCCCAAATCCTGACTTCCATGGGACCCCCATCCTGCCCTACCGTCCCTCGGCAGGGGGTTCTGTCATGCCCCACACCCCCAAATCCTGACTTCCATGGGACCCCCATCCTGCCCTACCCTCCCTCGCAGGGGCCTCCGTCGTGCCTCCCCCAAATCCTGACTTCCATGGGACCGCCATCCTGCTCCTAACCCTCTGTCCTGGCCTCCAATCCTGCCCCCCAGTCCCGCACTGCATGGATTTCTCTCCCCCCCCACCTTGCATGAGACCCCCACAGTGCCCTTACCCCTCCCACCTTTCCCTCCATCATCTGCGACATCCATACGGGGCGGGGGGGGTTGTGACACCCTCATCCCCCCCTGCATCTCCCCTCCACCCTTCCTCTGCATCCTTCCCTCCCCTCACCCCCCGATCTGGGGAAGGGGTGCACCCCCTCCTGCCCCCCCCCCCCCCTTTTCCGGGGGGGGGGCACAGGGCTGCCAGCTCCCAGCCGGGCCATGTGTGGTCCTGGTGGTGCTCCCAGGCCAAGAGCCCGGCGGAGGGTGGGGCTGCGCCAGAGGAGACCCCTGAAAACCCCTCAGAGCACCCCCAAAACCCGGTTCTCCCGGGGTGGGAGGGGGGAGCAAAGCCGCTCCATCCATCCGCGCCCTCCAAGCACAGGCCACACGCTGCACTCCTGCCTTTTTATCCTACTCCGCAGCGCTTATTGCAGCCCCCTCCTCACCCTGGGGGCACCCCCCTCCTCCCTAAATCTGAACCCCGCAGGGCATTAAAAAAAAAACTCCGAGTCATCTTCGCAGCGCGGCTGCCGGGAAAGCGCCGCTCGCTCCGGCCCCGCTGCTCTGACCCCGTAATATCCGCATCATGTGATCCTCGCCATCCTCTCCCGAAGCCTTTCGCCTGCCTTCTCCGCTCCGCTGAGCCGGGCTGGGCTCGGCCCCCCCCCCAGCCCCAGGAGCGGCCTGAGCCCTTCCTTCCCGGCTCGGCTCAGCCGGCCCGGCCGCCCCGGCACTGATGCAACGCCGCGTCAAAGCGGGAGTCAAAGCGCAGCGCTGCCCTCGCACCTCGCACCTTTCCCCCCCTCCCCAGCCCGGCCAGCGCCCCCCGCCTCACCTAACGCGCAGGACGGGGATCTGCCTCTCCATAGCAGAAGGAGATGGAGCCGCTAATTTAGGGAGGGAGAAGCCCTTTTAGGCTTTTGAGCCGGGCACCGGCAGCTTCGCGGCGCTGCCTCCGTGCCCACGCCGGGAACCGCGAGCGGGCGGAGGAGCTTTTTTGGCTCCACGCAGAGCTATTTAATCCCCCCCCTCCCCTGCAACGGGAGCTGCGAGCAGCCAGAGCCGCAGCCCGGAGCTCTCTCTCTCTGCTTCTTGGAGTGGGTCACGGGGGAAGGAACACGTAGAGCTTGTTTGCCAGCCGCATGATTTGGCTTATTTGCTCTCTTTGTAGCAGGTGCTTAATTGTGGCAGAAAGGGTTCCCGGCAGCTTTCAGGGCAGCCAAATCGCCGCCTGCCCCCCTCCCGGCCACGCAAAACAAAAGCACAATTGTCACTCGCAGTCGAAACGCTCCGAGCTGCGCAGCTCGAAGCGGCGGCCCCTTTTCCCGGGAAGAGAGAGCCGGTGGCTGGAGGCACCGGGGAGGGCACCAGGCAGGGGAAGGGGCTGGGGAGCATCTGTGGAGCACGTGGATGCTGCTCACAGCCCCCCTGCTCCGTGGGAGGAGAAACACGAGTCTCAGCTGACTTGCTGCATCAAGCAAGCCCACGGCATGGCATGGCATGGCATGGCATGGCACAGCTGCCAGGTGGGATCTCCCCTCCCTCAGCACTGCTGTCTCTGGCAGGGCTGTGATTAAAAGGCCGTTTTCTCCCTGCTCCCATCTCTCTCTCTCTGATTTAAGCCTCTTGCAGTCGTCCCCAGGGACTCCCATCTGTCCAGCTCCGTAATCACCCTCCCTCCCAGGCAAAGAGCTCCAAACCCGAGGGCTGAGCGCTGGGGGTCACCCCGGGGAGCTCACACCGCTGGCACCAAGCCCCCCTTTTCACCCCACAGCGCCCTCCTGCCCCCATGTCCTGCTCCCCAGCCAGGAATGAAGAAGCTCCCCAGGTCCCTGAGACATGAGCGGACATTGCTCCAGCCGTGCCCTCCCCAGTAAACTTTATGACTCTCTAGTTTAATGCCAGGGGCGTTTCCACCCCTCACAGGTGCTGCCAGGGCCCTGCCCAGCCTTGCTGAGGGTCAGGATGCAGGAATCCAAACCCGTTTGCTCCTTGGAGCAGCCAGAAAATGCTCTGCGATCGCTGGAGCTTTCCCGGCCCTGCCCTCACCAGGGACCCCCTCCCTGACCCCCAACTCGAGCTCAGCTCAGTGTTATTCACCTTGCAAAGGCCTGAAGGGCTGAGACAGACCAAGGCAACGCACCCCTCGCTGGCAAAAGGGGGTTTGGAGTGGGGAGACACCCCGACACGCTCCAGCAGCCCCAGACCACACATTCCCAAAGCTCCCCCACCAGGATCGTGCCTGGCTCTGCCCTAAGCTCTGCTGCGAGTTTTCCACAGAAAGAGGCATCACAGTGAAGTGTGTCAGAGGGGAGCAAAGAGCAAAGTCCCCTGGAGAAAGTGGCTGGAGGAAAAGTGCTGGAATGGAACGGGGAGGCTGGAGGAGGCAGCTCGGGGGAGGAGGGTACTTACAGGCTGCGAGCCATGGCAGTCATCTTCCCGGCGGGGCTGCCTTTCCCTTGGCTTTCCATCTCTTTCTCTTGGCAGACTCTGAAGGAACAGGGCAGAAGGGCTCTGTAAAAACGCCCCAAACACGGACTCAGATCCCAAAGCCACCCCGTCCCTCTCACGGTGTCACCCCGTGACCTTGGGGACAGGGAGCCTTTGGGAAGGCAAGTCCTGCCAGGCCACCTGGGCTGGCCAAGAAGTGTCCCAGTGGGGGGACAGAGCTGTCCCTTCTCTCCCCACTGTCCCTGTGTCCCGCTGCCAGGTCTGCCCTCCTCGTGCCACCCCCTTCGCCGTGCAGAGCAGTCTGAACAAACAGATCTGAATAACCAGATCTGTGCAAGGGGCACACACAGCCCCGGCCCCTGCTCTGCAGGTTCCACAGTGACAACCTCCCCTCAGCCCCGGGGCGCTCCAGGGGTCCCCCAGTTCCCAGCCCTGCTCCAAGCACCTTACCCTTGGCCTAAGAGCCTTCCCTGTGGGCTCAGGCAGCCCGGGCAGTGCCTGGCTCCCGGGGTGGCCAGCAGAGCAGCGAGCCCTCCAGCATGTTTGGTTTGCCCTCCTGGGAGCTCTGGAGCCAGGCAGGGCAGCAGGGCTGTCCCTCCTTCCCCTGTCACTGGATCAGCAGTGCCTGCACACGTCAGGCTGGAGCAGAGTCCAGCCTGGGCTCTGCTCCTGGCAAAGCCAGCACACGCCTGGCTCCCGCTGGGAAGTGGGTTCCACGGACACACCACAGCGCTGGGTCCTTCCATGGATTCACCAGGAAGAGCAATAAGGGTCACTCCTCCATTTCGCTGCTCTGAAAACCCCAAATCTCCAGTTTTTCTTCCTGGGATCTCCTCGCTGAGGGCAGCTGCCAGGGGCATCTTTGTGGGCTCCCCAGCCCCAGCAGCAGCAGGGCAGGGAGGTGCCAGCTCAGAAAAAAACGGGGTTTGTGGGCTTGGTATCCACTGGGAGCCAGGAAGAAGGAGAAATCTTCAACCAGCACTTTGCAAAAATGGCAAACCCCAACCTTGATGGGGGAACAGTGGGGACAAAAGGACCCTGCACCACTGGGATGTGCCAACACACTGGTGGGGAGCAGGCTGGGGAGGAGAGCCCAGGGAACAGCTGATACCAGAAGGAAAGGTCTAAAACAAGCAAAAAGAACATTTTTGCACCTTTCATCCCCTGTTCTGACAGAGCAGAAGGGTCTGTCCCCGAGCCAGGAGATTGGGGTGCTCTGGCAATTCACTGCCTGCACATCCTGTGGCCCAGCTGCCCACCTGGATCCCATCTCCCAGCCCTGGAATCAGCCACCTGATCCTCCTCGGGTGACAGCTCACCCTGCCATCGACACCACTGCACAACTTCAGGGACTCAGCGCTCAGCTTATAAATATTTAAACCCAGAAGGAGCCGTGTACTCCTGTAAAATGCGACTTATTACACAAGCGCAGCCTCCCCTCGCCCCAGTGCTGAGCTAATGAACATTTGGGGCTCTCCAGGCGGATCTTTCGCAGCTAAAAACCAGGTCAGGGCAAAACCCAAGGTCTTGGTCCGTGTGTGCAGGATTTCTGCGCCCTCCAGCTGGGATATATTGGATTTAGCACCCCGATGGGTGCAGAAAACGCTGCTGAGGTGGAATCACAGCTGAGGCTGCTCTTCCAGCTGCCTCTTCCCGAAATCCCAGCCAGGTTTTGGGGTGCAGGGCCGGCCCCACACTCTGGGAGAGGCTGCAGCTGCAGCCTGGAGCACTGACAGGCTCCCACCAGCCCTCATGCAGCATTCACAGTTTCATACAGTATTAAGAGCTGCTGACGCCTCGTGAAAAAGCTGTGAAAAGCTTCTATTTGGGGAAAGTTCCTCTCATAACGGTGCATCCTGTGGCTTCTCTGTTTCCCTTTTCTCCTGGTTCTCTTGCCATGGAGAGCACAGCGCAAAAAAACAGGCGGATGATGTTGCCAACCAGCCTGGGCTCTTCAGCAGGAAAGGAAAATAACCCTCCAAGCAGCTTCCCCCCAGGGAATTCATTCTCACATTGCACCCAGGGAGCTGCTGTGGGTGGGGGGTGGGTGCCTGGGCGCTGCTGGTCAGTGAGAAGGGGGAAAATGGGACCCTCCTGGGGCTGGGTGCGGCCAGCACCCACAGCAGAGCGTGAGGTGGGGTCTGGGGGGGCTGCACATCTCCTAAAGGGGGAGAAATGCTGGGTTTGCTTGTTTTAGACCTTTCCCTCAGTGTCAGCTGCTTCCTGGGCCCTCCTCCCCACTCTGCTCCCCAGCACATCCCATCCTGCCATCTCCTTTTACCCCCACTGTTCTCCCCCACTTAAAAAAAAAAAATTAAAACATCAAAGAACGAGGAGTCTGTTTCTAAGCAACTGTCTCCAAGAAGGGATGGAGAGCAGAGGAAGGGGAAGAAGCAATGCTGGGTGGTGGGGGGAGAAAACTCGTGGGGATCCCAGAGCCCCTGTTGGGGTGAGGGAGGGAAGGAATGGCCAGAAAAGAGGGAACATGGGATGTCAGACAGCACCAGGAGCAGGCCAGGAGCCCCTGGAGTAGGCAAATCACCCTCTTTCATCATCACAGAGCCCAGCTGCAAGTCCTGGCCTGCGGGAGGGTGGCCGTGCCTCCTGCCCTCCCTCGCTTGTGAAACAGCTCCCAAATCCCCAAAACCACTTCCTACCCTAACGGCTCCCGGCCGGAGGAAGCGGCAGCACCGCCCGTCACCCTGCCTTGGCAGGAGGCTCAGGGAGGGCGGTGACACCAGCCTTTGGTGGCTGCAGGGACGTCCTGACAACCTGCCAGGAGACATCAACACCCCTTATTGGAACAGCGAGCAGCGGCCAAGGAGAGCCGGGTTTGATCCACGCTGTTCCAGGGGGAAAACAGGGTGGATCCGTCCCACGCTGGAAGCTGTGTGCCCCCATGGCTTGGGGTCACCTGTGAGCACCCACCTCGCTGCCCACGGGCCACTTGTTAAACCCTGAGGGCCACCAGCACACCCCGAGGAGCCTCTGGGGGTCGGACACCCCGATTCCCGACAGCTCAGAGGGGAGCAAAGGGGCCAGGAGGGAACAAGGGGCTGGAGGGTCTGTGTCACCCTGGGGGCTGGAAACAGCCCCGGGGACACTCAGAGCTTCTCCTGTGCATGAACCACCCCGGTTCCCACCCACTTCCCAACCCCCAAACCCCACACACCTCTGCACCCCCACCCCACAACTTCCCGGCGGAGAAACCCTCAGCCTCGCCATCCCTGGAGCAACCCTGGCAAATCCCTGGGGAAAAATGGAGGGGAGTAGATCTGCTCCAGAGGGTAGATCTGCTCTGGGGGTAGATCTGCTCCAGGGGGTAGATGTGCTCCGTGGTTACCTGTGTGCACGGGCCCTGTGCTGTCCCGCGGCTCTTCCCTCCGCTCCAGCAGCCGCCTTCCCTTTCCAGGTGCTAACTGGCCCGGACAGGTAGGGCCCATTTTTATATGCTCGCCCATGTGATCCAAACAAATGCCCTAGGGATGAGTTTTTGCACTGACACAAATAAAGGGGCTGGGACTGAAACCTGTCGGACCACAATCCGAGCTCAGCGGGGGCAGGAATTTTCCACTCGGAGCCGCTCTGGGTGCGCCGGCGGCTCGCGGCACGCGCCGGGGCCTGCACCTCCCCTGCTCCCCAAAATCCCACTTCCCTGCGCTTCCCAAGCCTTCCAGACTCGTTCCTAAACGCTTCCTGTATTGCAGCTGGAGTAAACGAACCCGTGGGATGGTTCCAGGATGGAGGGATGGATGGGAAGTGTGAAGGAATATGCTTGAGGCACTGATTGCATCTAAGGTCTGCAAAGCGTTTGGTATTTTTCCCATGGTCCCTGGAAGAAAACACAGCAGAAGATGCCAACCAGGGTGAGAAATAGGGAGGAATCCTTTGCTCCTGGAAGAGGGTGCTCCCTGTAGCTTTGGGGCCTGGGAATGGTGCTTCTGCACAGGTTTGGAGGTGGGTTTTTGGAGCTGCCCAGCCTGCGGGTCCCGCACTGGGATGCTCCTCACGGCTCCTCAGGGTGAGTCCAGGTGACCAGAGATGACCAGCATGGGAATGGAAAAGGGAGGGTGAGCTTTATGGGAGTGAGTCAATGGGAACCAAGGGACCGGGGAAATGGCCACGGGCCACGGAAAGGAGAGGTGGCCGAGAGGGGTGAATCAGAGGGAACAGCTGGTGACTCAATGGGAAAGGAGGGAGCTGACGGGCTGGCGAGCTGCAGGTGTCTGGTGGGCTTTAAAGGACCCCCTTGCGCTGGAAAAGCTCCGTTCCGGCTGCTCCGCTCGGAGGGACGGGAGAGCGGCCGGAGAAATGCTGGCTGCGGGTACCGATGGAGCTGATAAGAGCGAGAACGTGCTGCTCGGCACACACGGGGCCAGCTCTTGCCTCACCTCACCTCCTCATTGAGGTGCTGCTGCGCCCCGGGCGCCTCTGCCGCGGCGCGGGGCTGGCACCGGGGGTTGATCACACCTCCAGTATGTTCTGTCCTCGCTGGCGCCACGGCCTGAGTTACTAAGGGAACTCAGGGGGGTTTTTATGCCTAATTTTGCGGCAGGTACTTAAAAGCTCCCGTTTTGCTGGGTCACAGAGCGAGTAAAATGTTCCCCGCCTGGAGCCAAGGCTCGTTTGCAGCTGCTTTGTCCCTGCCTGTCTTGGAGCATCTGCAAATGGCCCCGATCTCCCCAAATTGCTCCTTCCCGGCTGTGGGGGGGTCGCCCGGGGTGGGGTCTCAGCTCTTGCTGTTCCCTGCTCAGCCTCTGAGCCAGGTTTAAGGGCTCAGCTCTGCCAAGGAGCTGGTCCTGGGCTGGGGCTCTGCCAGACCCGGCTGGGCACAGGCTCCTCTCCACTGCTGGCTCCTCCGGGACCGGGGATACCATGCTGTGAGGAGGGGTAGGTGAAAAAGGGGGGGCGCTGCTGGCTGCGTTGGGGGTGTCAGGCTGTTTTCTCTCACTTTGCAGGAGGTTGGTTTGTTGGGGTGTCAGGGCAGGGCCTCTGTAACCCTGCTGGTGTGGGGAGCTGGAAATAAGGGGCATTTTGGGGTCCCCTCCCGAGCCGGTGTGCCAAGGGGCTGGGAAAAAACACTGGGGGGCTGGGAGAACCTTCTGGAAATGATATCCATGCTCAGGGGAGTTATCCCCACTCCTTCCAGCCCACAAAGCAGCTCGGGGGTGGGGGCCTGAGGCCGCGCTCTGCACGGAGCTGTGATGGGGGCTCAGGGCTTCCCAGGAAAGCACCACTGCTGGGACTCGGCTGAGCTCGTTAAACCTGTACGAGCCCCTGCTGCAAACCAGTTAAACCCATTTAGGGAAGGGTTAAGCCAGTTTAGTGTGATTTGGGAGTCTATTGATGCAAAGGTTAATCTGGTATAAGTGCATCAACATCGGGGATTCGAACCAATTTAACTGTTCCGTCTCCCTGTTTTCCCTGTGTGACTTAAGGGAGGGTCCAGCCTGTGCTTCTCCTTCATCCCAGCCTGCAGAGAGCCGCGGAAAGAGGGAGAAAATAACCCAGAGACTGAAGGGATGAGCAGGCTGAATCTGAAACGATGCTATTTATAGCCATCCCTGCCCAGCCGGCCTAAATTCCACGCAGGTCCCCAAGCCCGGC